CAATTACCCTCGAAAATAGGTGATTTAGATTTATATCTATTAAATCTTATATCTCTTTCTTCATTTTTGATATCACGTTTGATGAACAATGCCATGATATCTTCTTTCATTACTCCTAAAGATATCCTTTTAAATTCGACCTTGATAGCTTGGGTATCTTTAGCTCCATCTGAAGCTGTTTTACCCACAATTTTAACACATCAATCAAATTTCGAACCTATAATTAAATTTTTTTTTAAAAATATTCTCATTAAACCTCCCTTTGGAGTATATTCATCTATTACAAAATGCTGACTTTATTATGGTTATGAATGTTTGGAAGCGTTTCCAAGTCGTAACCTAAGTAACCACTTATCAGATGAACAATTAAGAGTTGTCATAGGCCATCGAATTGGATGTAACATAGTTCAACCACATACAAATGTAAAATATTAGTTGTCTCCAAAGGGAGACATGGTCTTAATTGTATATATAGCCTTGGTTTTTTCTTCAAAATTATTAATTAAATTTATATAAGATATAATATAATATTTTTAAAACATACCCTAAATCCAGATATAGGCATGACAAAAAGGCATTGTTGTTTAAAAGTTATTTCTCTCTAAAATTCATAGCATCTATTATTAAACCAGTAAAGGGTGAAGTAAAAATAGAAATTTTCTAAATTAGCTTTTAGCCATATGCCATAAAAATTCTCTAAAGTTAGCTGCTCAAGTTGTAATTTCTTAGTAACTACTTTAAATGATTTATAGGATATTTATTGATCATATACTTGCTTCCCATTCCAAAGCTGTAAAAATAAAGTTCATTATATGATATTTGAATGGTCTACTATTAAAGGTGACCAACTCAATACAAGTTTTATTGATATTTTTTGTTCTTTTAATGCTTCTTCCAATAATTGCTTGATGATATCTTAAACTTTTTTATTTTATTAAGCTCTTGTTTGTTAATTTTATCGAATTCTAGAGGGTGGTTTTTTTTATGTGCCGCTCAAGATTTGCTCCATGATGACCTTTCATATTTATTTGACATTCAGTAATATTACATTTTGATACGTCATTTATAATATCATATGTAAATAATTTATATTTTGAATTTTATTTTTATCTAGGCATTATAATTTATAAGCTAAAAAATGTTGTAAAATAGCAATATACTAAAGTTTATAAAAATTATGATCGACACTTATCGATTAAATGTTGAAAATAATCTATAAAAATTGAATATAATTATAATTTTCATATTTATTTGACAATCAGTAATATTACATTTTGATGCGTCATTTATAATATCATATGGTAAATAATTTATATTTTGAATTTAATTTTTATCTGTGCATTATAATTTATAAGCTAAATATATTTTGAAAAATGTTGTAAAATGGCGATATACTAAAGTTTATAAAAATTGTGATCGACACTTATCAATCAAATGTTGATGATAATCTATAAAAATTGAATATAATTAAAATTTTTGCAATATACTAGTATTAACTTACTCATTATTTTATAAGCATAAAATTATGAGGCTCGAACCGGTTCAGAGGCATTTTAGCGGTCTATTTCGGGTAGAATTTTTTTTAGAGATTTAGGTTCAGTTTAGGTTCGATAAAAAATACCGGTTTTTGATTCGGTTCAGGTTCGTTTTGGATCCCTGGTTTCGAGAAGAAGAAAAAAATGATTTTAACATTTTACTAAAAAATTTAACAGGAATATGTAATATTATTCAATATTTTATATTCATAACAATATAAAATTAAATATAAAAAGCTATTTTTTGGATATGGAAAAATTAAATAATCAAAGATGGAGTTAATTTTTTTGTTCGAAATATACAAAAATATATTTTCTGAAATTATTATATGATAAGTGAGAATAAAATGTATAGATATATTTCTGAGCATAATAAAAACATAAAGAGTTTTATATCAAATAATTAAGAATAATATCTATGAAGAATTATTATCATTCATTTATATTTCAACAGTTTAGATATAATCTCAGGGAATATTTTAATGGCCAAAATATGGAATAAAATCGACTGAAATCGAGTCGTTTTCTAATCGCTAATATATATTGGTTAATGATAATTATCTCCTTCTACTTCTACATTAGATTCTTACATATTGTCTTAGATGATTCCAATGGATCTTATTTCAATAAACTTCGTACTAATATCATAGCATTCTCTTTCTTTTCATAAATTGACCTATAGCTTAAATTTCAATTATTTCTCAAATATTTTATTATTTATCTCTCTTAGAGATTCCCCACATTTATATAAAGTGCGTTAAATTTGATATTTAAAACCCCATGTAATCGATAACTCTTCAAGCATAGCTATGTGAAATATATCAGAGTCCTACATAGGACTTATTTTACCAGGTTATGACCCGATTTGTGAAAAAAAATGTAAACTTCTCTCACTGATTTAATCCGAAAATATTTTTTTCCAAAAATATTCGAGTCCAATGCGATCCTAAATTTTATTTTAAAAATATGTCCAGTTCCTATCCTCCTATTTTTTTTTATTGAGTGGTTAAAATATATCTTATTTTAACGAAAGATCAAAAATTTTAAACGCTGAAGAAAAAAAATAAAGATAAATTTTCTTGAAAAGAATATACTTATAAATTCATCAGAAAAAAAAAAAATTAAATTTTTGTCGAGTATCAGAATTAGGTTTATTCTTAAATAAATTTTAAATATCAAGATCCGAAACCAATCTACTCCGAATGAATATCTGCCTACTTCCGACCTATCCTAGTGGGGATAGCTTGAACTCAGATTGGATTCGGGCTTAGATCGGTTTATGTAGGGCAAACAATATATAGAAATAATTTCAACCCTAATTATACTATATATGTTTAACCTATAAATTCAATTTGATGAATTATATATTTTATCCTGCCAACACATGTAAATGAAATATATGAACGGAACGAGTTATAGTGTTCGCCGTCTGTTATATCTGAAACTAAAATATTATTCTAATATATTTAATTTTTATTAGGTTTGAATTGTAATGTGCGTTATCATTTAAATAGATCATTTTCATTTTTATCATTTGTGTTGGAAATTATTAATTTTGGTTATAAAAAATGCATTTATTATTTACAATAAAAATAGTCATTCTCATTAAAATTTGTTCAATTTTAGTTTAAAGTCATTTGTTATTTCAAATATAATAATGTAATTCTATAAATATTTGAAAACTAGTAGAAATAATATTGTTAGGTTAAATTAAGGTAACATTGCGCATTTAGATGATATTTGTTATAATGAATTCTGAAAATTTTATCAAATAATATTATAATTCGATGACTAGAGAATTTAATTTTATATTACAGGTTGAAGATGAAGACCTATAATTGAGTGAGTCGTCTGATATGTGCTAAATGACACTGGTAAATTTAGTATTTCCTATATTATACTAAAAATATTTAAGTGTAAATAAATCGAATGACTCAGCACCAAAGCATGAACTCAAGTCAACTTGATCATGGATTATTGAAACAAAATATAGAGAATTGTTACAATGTTAGTTTCCCTGTATAATGCTAGAATAAAAAATCCGTTAAACTTTCTCCAATAAGATTGAAACACCCATAGACTATTTCGAAAATATATTAGAAATTTACTTTCTATAATAGTATTAGACACATCTTTACTCTCTTCAAAAAGATCCAAATAGACCTTTAAATTTATCATTTGACGAATTAAAAATTCATAAGAATTTTGTTTTATATATGAATTGAATCTGCAGCAATATTGTTTATATAGAAGAGCTAATACTAGAATAAAAAGTGGGAATTAAAATTATGAAACCTAAATGGCAATACGAAAGCATGTCCTTGTGAGACTGAAGGGCATAATGCTTTTCACAAATGCGACCTATGTTGCCGATTATAACATATATTTAAAGAAGAAATTTGATATTGACGAAGAAGTTGTTTCAAAAAACAAAGTCGGGTGAAACATAACAATCCTCCAAAACCGAAATTAGCGGGTTAACACTTTTTATAATGCGGAAAAGATGGTAATATTTATAATTAAGAAATTATATGAGAGAGATGTTAGTGTAACAAATTGATCCCCTAGAAAAATTATGCTTTGCTTACCGATCACAAGAAAAAAAATTTTGTCGAAAAAAACGAGGATAAATGGAGTCAGGTTATCTGTCATTAAATGGTTTAAAAATCGTTCACTTGTAAATTACTAGGATGTAAAGGTATTTTGTAAGTAGGGAGTGATAAATGCGGGGTATCGCTTTGTTTTATCCCGACAAATAATTGATTTATTATATATGATATTAATTATTTTTTCGGTATTTTTTATTTTATTTTTTTATAAAAATTATAATTACGTGAATAAAATAAAAATGAATATATTTTACCTTTATATATGCGTGGTTTATTCTAGTTAAAATACTTTAAAAAAACATAGAAATTTCCAAAAAATTAGTGGAAAATAATGTTACCTTATGTTTTGAATATTTAAAATCAATAATATAACAAAATATATTATTAGGATAAATATATATAGAGAGAGTTTAAAAAAAATAAGTATTATAAAATTTTTGCTTTAATTAATATAGCAAGCAATAAATGATTAAAAAATGCTATATGAGTTGTAATACTATTGCTCACTAAAGTAAGTTTAATATAATAATACTTGAAGAATTTATTATTTAGCATAAAAGTAAATAAATCTATGCAACATAACTTTACTGATCAAAAACGAAAATAAATAATATTCAATTTTTAAATATTAATATAAATTTTATTTTTTGTTTTATTATACATTTATTTCATCGTGTCAACCTGATTCATAGAATTTTGAATAATATTTCGCTCTTGTGCTCTATACTCTTATAAAAGTACATTTTTTGCAATATTTAAAAATACCATTTTTGCTATTATTATATCTAGATTAGAGTTAATACCTTAATATGTTTTGTTTGTATTTAGAATGTTATAATATAACCATAATTATAAATTATATATCTCTTTTACTTATTAGATGGCCCTATACTTAGGCGCTACTTTTAATTCTCATGAAGAACTAGAAAATGCTATAAAAGAATATAGTGAGGCAAATTCAGTCAATTTTGCCAAATCTGAAAGTAGACTGTTAAAATCTAATCTATTTGCTGAAGAAATATGTCACACCTATAAATACAAAAAAGTCACATTTTCTTGTAAATTTGCAAACATCAATAAATATTCATATTCTGTAAGAAAAACTATGACAAATCGTATTGATTGCCCTGCATCATTTGGTGTGTCATTTTCTAAGGCCAATAATAATCTAGTTATCGTACGTTTTTGTGATTCTCACAACCATGAGATGGGTATATAATCTTTATATATGCACATTAAAATATTTTTTGGTTTATTTATATGTAAATTTTATCTATTAAATGGACATTGAAAATCCTTTTTAGACATTTTAGTTTATATTAGTTTCTTTCAAATTTGAGCGATGAGTCCAAAGTGATAGTTTTGGGCTAAAAACTTGATCTAGTCAATAATTGGCTTGAATAGCTATAAAAATAAAATAATAATTACCTAATTATAATTAAAAGGCATTTTTTTTAAAACATAAATAATATTTTTGAAATATAAATTTTAACTACATTTGTTAATTCTGATAAGAAGAATAAACCTTAAAATTTATATAATACCTATTTGAATTTGCTTTCAATTTATAAATAGTAAAATTTTACAAATTATAGCTGCCATTATAAAAATATGACTAAATTAGAAATGCTTATTTTTTTACCATGTAATTTATAGTTTAATAATAACCATATATTTAAAAAAAATATTTCAGGTTAATTAGTTATTCCTACATCAAAAATGGATAAATTTAATATATCTCCAGTCCAAATTTTTTAAAAAAAATGTGACATTGTTAAAGTTGCCTGAATGGCTTCACAATTTTTTTTTTCAGCTATTATTATGTTTATTTTAAATAATCCAGACTTTTGCTAGAATATAACTTCCCATTATGTAAACATGAAATACAAAAAGGCAATGAATTGCGAATATTTCTTATATATTTTAGATAACATAGATTGATGCTTGGAAAAATAATTTTTTCATTCAATTTAAATTTGATCTACCTTAACATAACATCTATCATTATCAATATTATCTTGAACAGTGTTGTTAAAAGACTCATTTTGAGCCGATTTTTTAAAATGGCTAACTCAATATTGTAGCCAGAAAAATATTGCCAAAAACCTCAAGATTTTGGAAATATATGTTTAGACCTTTGTTCCTTCTATGAGCAAAATCTTCAGACTTGCATAATATTTTTCTGGATAAAATATTGAGTTAGCCGTTTTTAAAAATCGGCTCAAAATGAGCCGTTTAACAACACTAATCTTGAAGATACAATAAATAAATATACCCTGTTCTTTGCAATTCTGTTTTTTGACTTCATACTGAATTTTTATATGTATGCGTTCAACTTAACAAATAATACCAATTTTTAATTTTTTAATACTCATCAATGGATATATAAAACGAAAACAGTTTTTCTTTGTTCCCAATGGGAAATGAAATTCAATATGAAAAAGGCCCAAAACTGGGAATATTTATTGATAGATGCTACATAGTGTCATTAAATGCCCCAAATTTAGGACAATTTTTAAAAACGGTCCTATTATTTAGCCAATATTGTGTAAACCTGCTTGAAGATTTTTCTCATAGATGAAAAAAAATGTTTTTAACCCTCTATTTGTCAAATCTCAAGGATTACATAATATTATTTTGGCTTATATCTTAATCGGGCCATTTTTGAAATAAACATAAATGGAACTGTTTAACAACATTATGCTTGAGGTGGTAATATTTAATATATTATATTTCAGCTGAGTTTTCAAAATCATAATAATTTTAAATCGAGAATCTATAAGATAATCTACAACATTTTTAACATTTTTTTTTCTTACAAACCATTTGTATCCTCTTTCCCACTAACAATAAATATAGTGAACGCCCCAGGCCCTAACGACACCTCCCTATTTTTCGACGACCCTCTGGCAGATGAAGACACATCTCTAAACTACTTGTCTCCAAACACTTCCCTCCCGCACCATAGCAATAATCTCACCATTGCTGAATCATCGGCTGCCGCTTCTCATCTAGAAAATACGGCCTCTTCCAGCCCCGACCACCTTTTATCCACCCTAGAAAAAATCAAGAATACTCCTGGCCTGACCCTCGAAATTTACCTGGAAGCCAACAATTTGCTATCCGTTTTTTTCCAGACCGACGAGATGAAATTCTACTTTTCGGCCTACCCCGACCTGCTTCTCATAGACAACGTGAGCTACTACGAGGACGCCTGCGTGGCCACCTATACCCTGTCCGTTGTGGACGGGTTTGGCTTTTGTCAGATAGGTGAGTTTGGTATTAGTAATTATAACATTTTTCGTAAATTCCGAAACTGCAAATTATTATAATTAAATTAGGCGTGTACCGATATCGCTTTTTGAAGGCCGATCCGCTCCGATATTCCAGATATTAAATTGATATCGGCCGATTACCGATCCGATATCATATCTAATTTTGTATTCTGTAAAGATACCAATGGTTTTAATTTGTAATATACTTTTTATTAGTATAATATCTAATTTAATTAAACCATAACTTATGTCATTTAAATATATTTTAATGATCAGTTATAGTTTATATTCAATTCTATTGCCTAAGATACCAATGGTTTTAATTTGTAATATACTTTTTATTAGTATAATATCTATAATTTAATTAAACCATAACTTATGTCATTTAAATATATTATAATGATCAGTTATAGTTTATATTCAATTCTATTGCCTAAGATACCAATGGTTTTAATTTGTAATATACTTTTTATTAGTATAATATCTATAATTTAATTAAACCATAACTTATGTCATTTAAATATATTATAATGATCAGTTATAGTTTATATTCAATTCTATTGCCTAAAAGTATATAAAATATTTTTATTATCAATCACTTTTATATAATAAGTAACAAAATTAATCTATATACACAAAAAATAATAAACAATTATATTATGAAATTTGAAATAAATATTTAAAATAATATTTAACATTAATATATCGAAGATTTCTTTTTAGAAATACCCAAATTTCCAATTTATCAGAAATCAGCCTGCAAGCGATGGTAACTGTCAATATCACCAGCTTCACTAAAAACAGATTTTGAAGAGATCGCACAATTTTATAAGCAGAATGCGCAAAAAAAATAACAATATGGGCAGAATGTTTATAATTAATTATTATTATTAATAAAAATAAATGATTTTAGATGTAACTTTTTAAAAAAAAAATTATAACATTTTATTTTTGCTAAAGACGCCTTATATCGGATCGGATTGGCAAATTTTATAATATTGGCCGATAACCGGTTTTTTAAAATAGATAAAATATAGGCCCGATCCGATAAAAAATCGGTACATCCCTAAATTAAATTAATTTTTGCTCCTTGTTTATTATGAAAGTTTTTTTTAACTGGGAACTTTAGGAAAGAATCACAATTTTTTTTATTTTTAAATATTAAAATTAAATTATATTTCTCAAGTTGAGCGTTCATATTTTTTTAGGCTAATTTTTAAGAGAGATTTATAAATTAACGTGGAAGCTCGTTACGGCTATTCCCTCATATGTTTACAGTTAGGACACTTAGTGAGAATATAATGTTCGAAATAATGCTAACTTTCGATTTGCCCAAATTTGACAAACATTCTTTTGAAATGTGGGTCTAAAATACCCCGGGCCACCTTTCCCAGGTCCTAACTCCCAAGAAGAGTTATCTTAATTTTAAAATACGATTATAATTAAGCAATCGGTAACTAGGCCGATATTCCGACATTAATTGTTTTAAGTTAATACCATGATTGTATACGTAATTATAAAATATTTTTTATTTAATACACGACACGATTTCATAAACAACAATAAATCAATAATTAAGGAACCAACGAATCAAAAAAATCAAATTATTTATTTTAAAAAAAAAATAAAGTGAGTAGCCAAGGATTTGATATTATTTTTTTTAATAGGATTTAATAAGCATATCTAACGAGTTACCTTCAGTTATATTCTTATTAAAAGGCTCAAAAGGCTAGTGTTGTTAATTTGCTTGGCGGTAAAAATTTGCGACCCAATTTTGTGCTTAGGCCTGCTCTTAGCAAGACCCAGGATTCGTGCTCAGAGCTGGTTAGCAGGTTTTTAGACCCAAACCCGGGTCTGGGTTTTACACAACCAACTAATTAACATCACTGCTCAAAAGTATATTACTATCATAAGGATTGCCCGATGACAGTAAGAATTAAGCCAAATGTCATAATACAATTTTGGGTTGAATCTTGATTTAGCCTTTTTTTAAAAAAATATTGGCGAAATCGAGTCCGAAAACATTAACATTTCCCATATTTTTAATTGACGTGATAAATTTTTGAAATATTAAAAAAAAATACACTTTATAATTTTACGAAAGTTATCTCATTCTATATTTTGAATAAGAAAAAAATATTGATTTTTTTTAGGTGAAATTTGGTGTTTTTTAAAAGAAAAAGAAAACCCCGATTTAAAATTTTAGACAAAATAATATTATATATGCCTGAAGATTTTACTAATAGATGGGAGAAAGGTCCGGACTTCTATTTGCCAAGTGCCGAGGCTTGCATGATATTATTTTGGCCAAAATCTTCCTCAGGATTTCTAACAGTAGTGACATTATTTCGAAGATAGGTGGCAAATGAAAATCAACATTAAATATAGGTAATAGGATCGGTGTAGCCGCCCTATCAGAATTTTCGAAGAATCGGTCAGTTCTTAAGATTCTAATCAGCTGATTGGATTCCAAAAAATCACACCTGACTTTATTTATTTCTTAGAAAAAGTTTAGGTATAGATAATATCCACGGCCAAAACTTGCGCCATTTTATTTTTATCCATTTATTTACTTTTCTAAATCTCAACATGTCACTAAAGCTGCCGTGTGGTGCGTGATAGCGGAAACATTCGAAATAATGGGCCAGATGGCGGAACTTTTCAAGCGTTATAACGAGGCCTGGACCCGCGTTCGCGTCGTTGTGGTGGACAAGGACCCTCCGGATACTCGGGTATTCGCTGAAGCATTCCCATTGGCGCAGATCGAAATTTCCGCCAGTCGCGTCTCTCGCGCTTTTAAGAGGGACGTTAACCCGAGGGTAAAAGAAAAAAATATATATATATTTCAAAGTGAGATAAAAAAAAATGAATAAATAAAGGTAAATTAGATATTTTAAAAAAATTTATAAAAATAATTTATCGAAATTTCTGATTAAGAATTGCGCTTCCTTGAGTGGCGGAGCTGATCGCGTAAGGCGCATATTAGACTCATTGACGCGTCTATCGGATGCAAGCAGCGTGGAAGAGTTTCAAAGCATTGCGGAAGTAGAACTGACAGACGCAAGGGCTGAATGCCCACCTCTCGCTGCTTACCTCGACGAGTACTGGTGGCCCAAGAAATCTCTGTGGGCTAAGGTTGCCTTCATTTTATTTTGATGATTAATAACAACTAATTTCTCTTGATTTATTTGGCAGACGCTACTTAACTAATTTTTGAAATTCCCTAAATATCACTAAGGAAATGTGAACGCCTAAAAAGCTTATATTTTTATTCTTGTATATTAGAATAATTGGCACTCATCAAATCTTTAATAACCAGGGCTGTGCCGATCAACTTATTTTATGCCGATCCTATATTTTTCGATATTGGTTCAAAACCGATCCGATATTTAAATTGTTTTTTTACCACCCCCTCCCCCTTTGAACCAGATGTAATATAAAAAATTCATATTTTTAATGCAATAAAAAATTCATATTTTTAATGCAATAAAAAATCGAATTATGCATTTAATTTAATTTTATTACTATAATTTTTTATATTTAATAATATATCCATTTTATTTTGAATATATACACATACATACATATATATATTTATGTGTTGGTATGAATTATAAAATTGTAATATATTAGACTTTTTTAAATAAATGTGACAACATCTAGATTTTTTGGCAATAAACTTCTACTATGTTGACTATCTATATCCCCTACAGTACTGAAGACAGACACTCACGTGGGACACTTGTCGCAAGAGGCGCCAAAAAATTTTCAGCATTAATTCTTCATTAGACAAGTGGGTCCACAGGGGATTATCAATGTTATTAGAGTTATCCAAATAAACACACATAATATTAGCATTTTTAAAATATTTGGTTTCATACAAACCCAACCTTTTGTTGGATTTGAAAAATAATCAGATACCACCCATACAAATGGGTCAATTATAACCCAATAATGAAGCAATACTAGATGTAATATGAAAAATATGTTATTATAAAACGTTTAGATATAAAAATTCTTTTAAATATTCCCTGATTTCTTTCAATTATGGCAAGCCATCTAACATTACTACCGATTTCAATTATTTTGTTTGTTACTGGTTTTCATTGATTTTCAATTTAAAATAAATAAAATTTGGGGGGGGGGGGGTATGCATTTCTCATGTTTTATAAACAATTAAAAAAATTATTTAAAATTTTTCAATTTTTATAATAATGTAAAAGAAACTGTAACATAAAATAACAAAAAAAATTAAAAAGATGGGATCGGGTTTTTATCTCGGCCCGACCCGATATTTTTCGAAAACTCTAAATATCGGTGCCGATCCTATATTTAATGTCGGCGCAGCAGCCCTACTAATCAGGGCCATTTTCGTGTGCTAAAAATTATTATCATCTACTATATATCATATTAAATATTTCGGTTACCTTAAAATATTATTTAAGGTTTTCACGTTGAATAAAATATGATTGTTCTTAATTTTATGGATGCTATTACAACAATTGTTACTTGTATTAAGCCATTTTAACCCCCACCCCCATAAATTTAATAAAATAAGATTATATTATTTTCAACATAGTTACTTAGTATCCTTATTTACATAAGGTAAATAAATGTTTTATTTTATTATAAAAATCCTGATTTTAAAATATTAAAAAAAGGCATACAGGCCACTGGCAATTAGCGCCATTTTAGATCGAGGCATCCAGCACCGTCGAGGCGGCTACCTAGTCCACAAGCTCCGACCAGCCCTGCGAAATTATACCGGTTTTGCGTCTTTCCTTCGGGACCTCGTGGCATTCTCGCGGGCCTTGGGCGATAAACGCGACTACGATGCGACAACTGCTTGTATAAAACGTTGCGTCAATACGCACCCTGTAGGGAGCGCCTTATACGGGTTCCGAGAACTGTTAACGACGTACGCTTTTGGGCTGGTAACTGAGGAACTTAGAGAGTCGTAAGAGCGAAAGATAAATAATTATGTTTATTTCCTATCTATTTTAAGCATAGTTACGACTAAAGTGGAGATAAAAAAAATGTAGTTTGGAAATAAAACGAATAAAGAAAAAAGAAAAACTATCAACATTAAATATTGGAGTGGTAATCCATTTGGGTCAGGATTTTGACTTTGGATCTGGCCGATTTTTTTTGAAATAAGAGGATCTTGACCAGTTTTCAGCAGAGGTACCATTTGCACAGCCCAGCCCGGATTTTTTTTTAACTATAATGTATTTATTTTTAATTTTTATAGCTAATGGCGATTGGTTTTAAAATATATGGCCCAGCCCTGATATTTTTTTTAAAAAATTTTCAAGCTCGGCACGGGTGCATATTAACGCATTCAAAAAATAACGATTTATAAATAAATTGAAGAAAAAAAATTACATGAGAAATTTATAGACAAGGTATTACTTTGAAATAGGTGACACGCTATAGCTACCTTTTAAATGTAGCTTAGACTATTGTAACTGTCGCTATTGAATATAAGTATTTTATTTAGCTTAATCATCATTTGTGGCCATTATTAAGTTATAGTTTATATTTTTAGATTTATAAAAAAATTAATAATTAACTTTACTAAAAATGTTTTAACTATTTGTTAAGTTAAACAATACGATATAATAACACTAAAATGACCCAACAGTACATGACATTAAGAAAAATTAAACAGTTAACTGTGCTTATTGAAAATGGTAAGAAGCCGCTAACAGATACAAACTCAGAGTTACAGTGTCAATTTCTATATGTATTTTTTCAACCGTGATTATTGGAAGTGATAGTGGAAAATTGTGAAACAGTTGACCATGCTTATTGGAAGTTGGTGGAGAAGTGTTATGTACTGTTGCGTCGTTTCATTGTTGATTTTATTAATCATATCGTATTGTTTAACTTTTACAAATAGTTAAAATATTTTTAGTAAAGTTAATTATAAATTAATTTTTTTTATAAATCTAAAAATATAAACTATAACTTAATAATGACTACATATGATGATTAAACTAAAATATTTATATTCAATTACGACAGTAACTGCTACTTTAAAAATGTGTCTAAATTTTTTTTTCCCATGAGCAATAAATATAAACAATATGATTTCTGCCAATATTTGCATCTATTGCTCCCTCGTGACATCATGTAATATGGAAGCTAATATTTCTACAAGATTATTTACCACACAACTGTTGTTTGTTAATTTCAATAATATATTTAAAAAATACCATGGAAATAACAAATATAATACATGCATATTGTAATTCTGAAAGTTCTAACAAAATTTAAATAATAACTACACTGAAACCCTACAAATAAATAGCTCATTTGGTTATACCAATAGCATATTTCTTACGAGCCTATTGGACCACAGCACTGTGCCTACCAAATTATGTAATAAACTAATTAAAGTAACCAAATGAGGGCTACTGCCATCTCATTTGAACCATAAAATTAGGTTCCCTCAATCTGGACTACCCATTTCATCACTAGCTATTTTTCAAACCTTAATGCTTTTCCTTATTGGCCGTTCATACTAACCCAACATCTCTACCCCATTGGCGCCGATCGTTCGACATTTAGAAATATTTTTAACAGTCAAAACTATTTGTCATATCCCGAATACGACTTCAGGTTTATCAGGCACCTGTTCAAAAATTTGATTTTCTTGATAAGCAATTATTTAGTAAACCACTGATATCCTGTCATTTGCCTTTAGGACTTTGCAAATCTTTGAACCAGCTAGCAATCATTTACACAGCAAATATTCCATTATCTACCCCTTAATTACATCTTCATATACTTTGACAGTGATGACATGTATAAAAGTAAGATCACAAAAATGACCTATTCACCAAGGCAAACTAATATCTATCATGAATGTTATCTGCCATATATCTAGCAACTTCTGATATAAGCTGGCTCCTTATTATTAAAGCCTTCCCTTTTCAAATGATTTTGTTTCTATTAGCTATAGTTATTATATGTGTTTCTTAATATAAGAGCTAGCGATATATATATATATATACATGTTTTATAATAAGATAATAATTGCATATAATATACTGAAAGATTATCGAAGTATAATATTCAAATAAAAACTAAATAATAATAAAGCTAAAATGATCTTGAACATATATTATGTGTAAACGATGCTTAATTATATATGTATATAACGTATCTTTCTTGCCAAACCTGAATTGTCTAACCCTATCTTTTCTTCTCAAAGTTAAATTGTTTGAATGGTCCTTTTTTTTCCTTATCAAGTCTTTATATGCTATCGGAGTCGTATTCAATTGTACAAAATTTCTTCTCTCTATTTTTTTTTACTTGTTGCATAGCTTTTCAAAGGCTCTGGGTTTACATTTTATGCGTAAGCTATTAGCAATAATTTTGATATCTACCAGAATAGTCATCTTTGCGATCTACTGTTGTTAAACGTCTCGTTTTAAGCCGATTTTAAAAAAACGGCTAATATCAATATTTTAGCCAGAAAAATATTGCCTAAGCCTCCAGATTTCGATAATATATGTCTAGCAGTGGTGTAGCGGGGTCCATACACATCAGACCCCCCTTTAACGGGCCTTCGGTCCTTTTACCCTGCCTTCGGCCGGTTTTATCTTAAAAATCATATTTATTTTTCTAATAATATAAAAGTCCTAGAATTATTGATCATTTTAATTAGTGTTGTTAAACAGCTCGATTTGAGCCGATTTTTATAAACAGCTAACTCAATATTTTAGCCAAAAAAATATTGCACAAGCATAGAGATTTCACAAATAATGTTTAAACCTTTGTATCATCCATGAGCAAAATTGTCAGGCTTGCATAATTTTCTGGCTAATATAGTTAGCCATATCGCTCAAATTGAGCCATTAACAACACTAATTTTAATTAAAATAACACATTTCGACATTATTTTTATAAATATACGTTTCAATTTATTATACTTTTATAGAAATCCAATTTACAAATAAAAAGCGATTATTTAAAATTGCCTTAATTATAAATGATATATAACTATTAGTATTACACATATAAATTGCTTTAATTATAAATGATATAAATTGCTTTAATTATATATGATATAAATTTCTTTAATTATAAATGATATAAATTTCTTTAATTATATATATTATATTGCCTTAATTATAAATTATATACTTTATAATTATTAGTATTACACATATAAATTGCCGATTATAAATGATATAAATTGCTTTAATTATAAATGATATATTTTATAATTAGTAGTATCACATTTAAATTATAGATTAAAATATTTTAAATGTTATATATAAAATAGATGTTAAAAAAATGTATATATATAACAAAACGAAAATTTTATATATACTATTGTAAAACAATTTATAAATAAGAAAATAATATTTTATGTAAACTAAACAAATTTATAATAATAAATGCTTATTTGACAAAATATTTCAATTGCTTTTGATTTAAAAAAATTATAAATACTATGTTAAAAAACTTTATATTTTATATATTTAACTTAATTCTTAGTGGCCCTTTAGCCATTTCCTCTATGACCTCATTTGGGGTAGGATTAAGATCTCTATATATATTCAGAAGAGCCAATCCATTGGTTCTTGCCTGGCCAGAAGTTGCACTTAAATAACTTTTAAATCGAGTCAATGTTGAAAATGATCGCTCATTGGTGCAAGTAGTTATGGGAAGTGTTGCTAATATTATTAAAAGCGTTTTGATATTTGTATTTATTGTTCCCTTAAATAATTATAATGCCTCAACGGGTTTGCTGGGACGCTCTGTAGGGATGATGGTGCTTAGATCAGAATACCAAGCTTCAGTATCTGATTTTAGCTGTTTATATCCTCCAATAATGTCGGATTCATAAAAAATACTAATTTTTTTAATACTAAGTATTATATTATTGTTAATAATTAAATCTTCTGAGGAAGATGGCAAAAGAAAATTAAAATATTTTAATATTTTGCTATGCCCAGCAAATTTTAATTTAAAATGAGTAATGATTGTTTTTAATAATGATAAACATTTTTGTTCACAAATTGTTAATATTTTCCCTCTGAAGATATCGACTTAGATTTACAGTTTTTAAAAAAATATAATTTATACAAGAAATTGATATAATAAACGGGGTTTGGTATATTGATGAACACAATTCTTGTGCAATATTAGATGAATCTTTATCATTCCACCTACTAATCATTTTCAAAGTTTCAACGATTCCTTCCAATGCTTTAAGAAAGCCAGTAATTGAATCTTGTCTTTGAAGGAATCTTGTAGGTGAATATTTTTTTAATTTATGAACTTTAGATCCATCTAGACATCACCCAACACCTTTGATCCTTACCAAAACTTAAAAATTCGATTATTTGGATACAATTTCTATGAAATAAAGATTAAATAATGTGAATAATTATTTACTTAAACTACTATCAATCTCACGAATTCCACATGCTTTGGAGATAACTAAATTTAGAGAATGTTCTCCACAATGAATATAGAGAGCTTTTGGGCACTTTTTTTTATATAGGCCTGAACCCCATTGATTTTTCCAGACATTGCTGGAGATCATATCCTTGGCCTCAAATTTTATTTATATCAACATCATTGTTTTTTAAAAAAGATATGATTTGTTTGGCTATATTTTCTCCTGTATTATCAAGTGGAATAAATTGTAAAAAAATTCACTAATTTTTACCTGTCCAAGTTTAATTTCGGATAACCAACGACATCTGTTGTTGATTTTGAAATATCAGTTGTTTCATCTGCAAGTACAGAGAAAAAGGCAGATTTGTTAACAATTTTTCAACAATAAAATTATTACATATGTTTATAATAGCATTTTGTATATCAAGAGATATATAAAGGGCATTATTAGCCACATTGTCAAATATGATCTTGGTTTCATCACCACCTAGATGACAATATGATTTGAGCAACTCTTTAAAGTTACCCTCATTAACTGAAGTTTCATTGTAATCCAATTTACCACTCTTTTATCTGTGGCCTCTTAATGGCCTTCCCTGCCTTCCTAAGTAAATGATGGCTTGAATAATAATTTGCAAATAATGTTAGCCTTGGAATCATCTTTTGATTATTATAAAAATGTTTATCATTATTAAAAACAATTATTACTCATTTTAAATTAAAATTTGCTGGGCATAGCAAAATATTAAAATATTTTAATTTTCTTTTGCCATCTTCCTCAGAAGATTTAATTATTAACAATAATATAATACTTAGTATTAAAAAATTTAGTATTTTTTATGAATCCGACATTATTGGAGGATATAAACAGCTAAAATCAGATACTGAAGCTTGGTATTCTGATCTAAGCACCAATGAATTTAATCGTTTAAAATTTATTAACCCTCCAATAGGAATCTCTGAGAAAAAAATTAAAAATGGCGCAAATGCGTCCCAGCAACCCTGTTGAGGCATTACAATTATTTAAGCAAACATTAAATACAAATATCAAAACGCTTTTAATAATATTAGCAACACTTCCCATAACTAATTGCACCAATGAGCGATCATTTTCAACATTGACTCGACTTAAATGTTATTTAAGGGCAACCTCTGTCCAGGCAATGATCAATGGATTGGCTTTTCTGAATATATATAGAGATCTTAATCCTACCCCAAATGAGGTCATAGAGGAAATGGCTAAAGGGCCACTAAGAATTAAGTTAAATATATAAAATATAAAGTTTTTTAACTAAGTATTTATAATTTTTTTAATCAAAAGCAATTGAAATATTTTGTCAAATAAGCATTTATTATAATAAATTGTTTAGTTTACATAAAATATTATTTTCTTATTTATAAATTGTTATATATATACATTTTTTTAACATTTATTTTATATATAACATTTAAAATATTTTAATCTATAATTAAAATGTGATACTAGTAATTATAAAATATATCATTTATAATTAAAGCAATTTATATCATTTATAATCGGCAATTTATATGTGTAATACTAAAAATTATAAAGTATATAATTTATAATTAAGACAATATAATACTTATAATTAAAGCAATTTATATTATTTATAATTAAAGCAATATAATATTTATATTTAAATAATCGCTTTTTATTTGTAAATTGATTTCTATAAAAGTATAATAAATTGAAACGTATATTTATAAAAATAATGTCGAAATGTGTTATTTTAATTAAAATTAGTGTTGTTAATGGCTCAATTTGAGCGATATGGCTAACTATATTAGCCAGAAAATTATGCAAGCCTGACAATTTTGCTCATGGATGATACAAAGGTTTAGACATTATTTGTGAAATCTCTATGCTTGAGCAATATTTTTTTGGCTAAAATATTGAGTTAGTGTTTATAAGAATCGGCTCAAATCGAGCGGTTTAACAACACTAATTAAAATGATCAGTAATTCTAGGACTTTTATATTATTAGAGAAATAAATATGATTTTTAAGATAAAACCGGCCGAAGGCCTAGCAAAAGAGCCGAAGAGGCTTTTACGTGTATGGACCCCCCCCCCCCTAAGGAAAATTCCTAGCTACGCCACTAGATGCTATAAACAGGGTCTTGAAATCTGCTGGCATCCCGTTAACCCTCGAGCCCACTGGACTATAAGTTCCGATGGCAAACGGCCAGATGTTTCTACCATTATCCCTTGGAAAGAAGGAATTCCTAACCTGGGATTTCTCATGTATTGATTCTCTTGCCCCTTCCAATTTAAATAGAGATGCTTAGTCGAATAAACTTGCTAAATATTCGCCATAACTGCCTACCAACTATACATTCCTACCCATAATCGCTACGACTTTAACATCGTTGGCTCTAACAGTCTTTAGCAATCGGATCTCAGTTAGGACCGAAGATCCCAATGAGAATTACTATCTACTTCAAAGTATGGCTCTAAACATGTTAAAAATAATTATCTCAGCTTTATATTTCCAATAAACGAAACCCCATATATGAACATCCTATACTTGGAATACGTTTTGAACTACTTAGCTCGGTAATGGATACATAGACGACGCTTCCTTGATTCCTAATCAAATGAAAGGAAAATAACTAGAAAATAAGACTGCTATATTTATGCCCACTTCTCATAACTTGAAATTCAAAATTACGGCTTTTTCTCCCCTAATATATTCATTATTTTTTTTTAAAAAAATATTCTTTATTATAAAAATCGTTCTTAACATGTTAATTAATTATGCATCTGTATTAACAATAAAAATTAATAGAGTTATTTAAAAAAAATAAATTAATAAAATATTGTAACCCGTTTTATATATATTTTTTTTATAATAAATGATATTTATTATAATTTGAAAGATAATATAACACATAATAAAAGATTTTTTTTTAATTATATATATTATTTTGTATTTGTTTTAGAGGATATAGTTTTCATCTAGCAAAAACATATTTTCCCGCCAAAAACACTTGCTATAAATAATCTCTCTGGAGAACTTGGATGGTATAAAATATTGTATTTCATGAAGAGCGATTTTAAAGAATGGAACTCTTTAGAGTAAAATCTATGGATGTTCTCAAAAAATTTGTTATATAATCAATATTATTTATATCATTTTTTTTGTTATCCTTGTCGGAGTATCAATACGGAATTTGAGATGTTCTCAATTTGTCAGCTGATTTTAAAATAAATGCCGATGAGTTATACTACGGATTAGTTATCTTTTATTAGTGTGTTCCACTTTAGTTTTAAGCCACGTCCAATTTTCTATTAAAATGGCAGGAGTAAAAGAGTTATCATCATTTCTATTTCAAAATTTTAAGATTAATTTTCAAATATTTGATTTTATTTTAGCTATAGCTATTGCCCAAAAAAAAGGTTGCAAAGCTTTTTTTTATATAACTAGCGTCACCACCAATCGTTACTTTAAAAAAAGTATAGTTTAATTGCTAAGCTACCTTAACAGCATCGGTTACAAGTTAAAGCATAAAAAATTATCTAAACGTATAAAAAAAATATCCGATTTATTCTAGTATTAGAAATATTCCAATATTTACAATTCTACTTTATAATAAAGATAGTTTTAAAAAAAAATTTATTTATAAGATCTGTTATCAGATCAAGGCTAGGTATTATTATTTTTTTTAAATCTAGTACATCTCTATTAAAGATAATATTTAACAATTATCATTTTAATCTATTCCTTTATATGAGCCTTCATAGTTATTGTGGTCTTACTACCCAAGAAATAAAAAAAAATTTCAAAAGTTTTTTTTTTTATTTTATAATTTTCATATTTCAACATCAGAAACAATATAAGAATAGTAAATCCACATCAAATAAAGAATAACTGATTATTTTACACATACATTTCCGCCACGTCAATTATTTTTTATAAATAAATAAAATAATAATCGAAATAAAATAATAATATTAATATAATTTAACAAATACAACAATAGTCACACTTTTTTCCCCATCTCTTTTTTTCAGAGAAAGTATAGAAGCTTTCAATGCCGCTAACGATCCCACGTCCACCACCGAATGCCTGTGCGAGCTTTATAATTCTTTTCACCTCCCGTGCAGACACATATTTGCCGCCCGTAAAGCTCTGGGTATGGACCAATATCATCCTTTACTTTGCGACTCTCGTTGGCAGATAGACTATTTCAAGAAGCAAAGAAAGGTTTTTTATTTTATAAGGTTGTAACCAATGAGAATTTTTGTTCTTTTGGTTAATAATTTTGTTCCTAAAAACAGTGTTTACATGTCTTGAGGGGGGGGGGCACTTGCCTTTATATATCTTTCACGGAGTAAAAGATATGAGAATGGGAAATAATAGGGTATTGCCTTATAAAATTTGTCAAAAAAATATATTGCATAAAAAGCAGTACTGTAGTATTTTATATATGATATCAATAAGGAATGGAAAGGAAAATTATATTAAATTATTTTTAAAATAACTACTTATAATTCTTTTATAGCATTTTTTTATCGGGATAAATTACATTATAATGCAAATTTGCTAATAAAATTCTTTTTTTTACAAAAATTTATAGTTGTATCTAATGAAAATGGCCAATACCCCTGTTACCAACGGTACACCCCAACCCTCTATACAAGACATCATTGATACATGCAAAAATGATTCTCAAGAATTGATCAATATCATATCTGTTTTACCGAGGGAGAAGTTAGAAGGCTATTCTGTTCACATTAAGTTATTAGTTGACTTGGCAAAGAAGGGGGAGGTTCCTATAGCAGTTACTGAAACCTAATTTAAGATAATAAATATATATTATAAAATCCAATTTTTTAAAAGCAATGATTGTTTTTTGTGTATATGAAGTTATATTTGAATAAATTGTAAATTTTATATATAATTTTTTTTTATTTTTAAATCTATAAATTAATTATTTTTACAATTATTATATGTAACATAATATCGTTTATTGAATTATTTATTAATAGTAGTTTTTACATATATATATATATACATACATATATAAAAAATATTTGTCTAAAAGTGTTTTTGCTATTAAAAAATAATAATTTCTGATCGATTTTTATATTATCGTATTTTTTTAAAAAAATATTATTTAAGTTTAGAATATTATATTGATTGTAGAATTCTTCATTTTTTTTTTATTGAGGTGGAATAAGCAGGAATTGAAAAGGTATGACCCAGTATGTGGACATTGTTTCGGACAAATATAAAATAAATTAAACCTGGTACGATAATATGGGAGATTTTGCTCATAGATGGCCCAAAAAATTTCGAGATTTAAGGCAATATTTTTCTGCCTAAAGTAGTGAGTTAGTAGTTTTTTAAAATCGGCTCAAATCGAACCTTTTAACAATACTACGTTCAGTTCGAGTGCTTTAAATATAATTAATTACTTTTGGGAATTTTTCTTTTTACGTCTATTAATTGAAAAGTGTAATAAGTAACTGGAAACAATTGTTTTTTTTAATGATGCAACTGTAACGACCAAAGTCTTAAGTAAAAGGTCTGATCAAAAAGATGGCACACACAAAAAGAAAAGGTACCAACAATCAAAAAATCATTTTGAATCACCCTAAAATTTCACTGATCTTGGAAATGAATCATGTGAATGTGAAATATTTTATGTAATTTTTAGAAATCAATCTATATAAAATGATATTTTGGAAGTTTAAAGCAATTTATTTTTTAAAGTTTTATATACCCCTAATAATTTTTGATTATATAAATAAAGTTTTCACCTGATATTTCACTTCTTTTCCAATTTTATTCCACTAATTTAAATTAGATATAAACTACAGTTTGCAGGCAAATTTGACATAAAAAAATTATTCATAATCGCAATATTTAAATTCTGGAATTCCATTTATTCATGGATCAGAAAGATAAAGAAAGTTGTTTATATGCAATACAAAAATTTAATATCAGCCCATAGTTCATGGTGTTAAAAAAACATTCAACCAAAAATCATTTATCTGCAGATTGCACTGCAAACTACACATCTTAGAGAATTTGAAGAAAAATCGTCAGTGGTTCTTGCGAAGGCTACGCGGAGCTAAGCCTCCCGATAATTTTTAGCCACCTTTCCAAATTTTTTCAAAATGGTTAAATTTTATTCAATTTATCATTGTTATAAAAATCAAAATTTTCATCGTTTAAAATAGATTTTTTTAAAACCCTTTTCGTATTTTTTATAGCCAGGTGGCCTCTTTATAACATAGAAAGATAGAAAAACAAAAAGTTATTATTTTTCCATAATTTTATTTTAATTTTTTTTTGAATTTTCAAAAATTAAAGTTTTTCTGAAAATATTAAACAAATAAAGGCTAATTAAAAAAATTGTACTGATTGGAGAAGAAAATACAATAACTATAAAAATAATACCTATTTTTACATTATTTCTGTGGCGCCAAATTCTACAGGTGTGGGGGCTTCACAATCTATATAAAATAGATAGCATAGACCCATTAATAATTCAATTTTCATTATATTTGCAGTCGCCCCTGCTTTATTTAGGTTAATGATGCTTGGTACCATCTATCAAATTTGAATTTTGTTCATTTTTCATTTGGATAGGCACTACCAAATATATTTATAATATATATTTGAAAAATCATGATTTTTGGAAAGCCTCTACGAATCCCAGGAATGATCATGTTTTTTTTCTTATTCTAACTTGGTGGTTCCAGCCTTGGGGGGATGATATATAGAAGGCCGGACTCGACCAAGTGATTCCGTATTAATATATTAAATAATAAGGGTCTTATTACATTTTAATAAATTTTGGTTGGTATTTAGCAAATTAGATTGGTATTTAAAATATTTCCATACATTCACTTGGTAGTAAGCATCATTAACCCTTTATTTACATATAGAGTGAGGTTCGCCGCCAGGAAATAGTACTGATAAATGTCTTAGTTTATGAAATTTTTGAGCCCTATCTAAAAAGGGCTAGACATAATTTATAAGCGAAAACTATCATCTAATCTCTATCGAGGTCTAAACTTAAAGAATAGCTCAATCCTGAAAAAATGTCAATCTGCCCCACATGACTTCGCCAATTTTCTCTTATTGCTAAGATTTGAGTCGATGAATTTGAAAGTTTCAAATTGGTAAGTGTAAAATCTTTAGAAGTATCAAATTTAATTAAAAAAATATAAGTGTAACACCGCTAGGGCGATACACTTATAAGGCAATTATAATATAACCACCTTGTTTTCGTTTCAATATAAAAAGATCGTCGCTGAACGAAAAGTAAGAGTGAAATTCTTCGAAGAGAAAGAGGATATATTAATTTTATAAAACAAAATAATATATCGGAATTAGGTTCACGAAAACAAATTACTACTTTTTTTTCAAAGAATATTGCTCCAAGTTTTGATAAAAAATATGCATTATGTTCTTGTTACCTTATTCAAACGCTGATTCGGAGCGCATATTTAGTCAAATGTACAATTTCTGGATGAAGGGTAATAATCAATTATCTTTATCAGCTTGTGGAGTGGAATTAATGATCAACCATAGTTAAAGTTATAATTACAATTTTTAAGAAATATATATCAAATTAAAATTTAACTAATAACATAAAATTATCTGAAAAATATGAATGAAAATATAGTATGTACTTTTTCTTTTTTTTAAAGTATTTTGTCTGTGTATATCTATTAATTCTATATTTAAAAAATAATAATAATATACGATTTACTATTGAATATTAGATGATATTCATTTAAATAATCAAATATTATCGGAAAAAAAATATATTTCATTTCAACCTTATGATACTTCAACTGTTTTAAAATATATTACCAGTCAAATTTGAATTGTAAATACCAGTCCCACTCTTTTAGATATTTTTGTGTTTACCTAGTTTGACGGTGCATGAGAGATTCCTCTAATCTAGTGTTGTGAAAAATCCGATTAAAATTTTAGCCAGAAAAATATTATGTAAGCATGGAGATAGGTTCAAATCTTTCTGCCATCTATCAGCAAAATATCTACACTTACTTTGGCTTAAATCTTATCGGTTTTTAGCAATATTACTCTAAACATCTACTCTAAACCTCCCTAATCTTCAAAGAAGCAGAAAATTATCCCTCTATATTTTTTTTTCTTAAAATTATTGACAGGCACCATCAAAATCGTTAAATTTTTATAAAATACAGCATAGTTGGTTTTTATTAAATATAAATTTTTTTTTAATAAACATTTATTTCATAATCTTTTTTTTTATAATTTTATATTACTTCAAAACTGCATTTTAATACAATGAGAATGACTAAGACAACATGCTAAATAATTGGGTCTAATTCTTAGATTACGGTTTACAAATAACCAAAGGGGGTTTTTGCTTCCACAGGATTTTCTGTCATGTAGAGATGTTAATGATATAATGAAGAAATATGTAATATAATAATTAAAAACAAATAAAATTTTAAACAAAGCATATTTAATTATTCGATTAAATGATATAACTGAAGAAAATGAAGGGGTAAATAATATTTAAACAAAAACCTATTTTATATTTCTAAAATACGAAATATTATTGCTTTTCTAAATATAAATTTCCCTAACTGCCTTAAAATTTACCAATTCTAACTTAAATGAAAACTCCCAAACTCTCGTTTACTATTTCGAACCTATTTATAAATCCGGTTTAATAAGAAGGCTACAAAGATAGTATTGAATACCTACGGCCATTTCATCTCAGCTTAAACTGGATATAAATTTTTTTTTGGTATATTCAAATATAAATTTAGAGCAATCACTCATCGACTTAATTCAAGAGATGAACCAATATTATTGAGCTATTTCGTGGATCCATTCCTTAAGATTTTAAGAACTTTTACATTCATATGCAACAATGTTGGATTATAGTAGACAGCTGATTAATTAAGTAAATCCTTAATAATTAATTTAAATTAATAAATTTAAATTTATTACTGTTTTATATTCTAAAAAAAAGGTGCATCATCTTCGAAGTGGAAGAATATACGGAAAGATTTTATATAATATTTTGACTTTATACACATACCCAATATTTTTATCGAAATTATTATAAAATGGAATATATATTTCCATATTTTTTTAATTCGTTTGTAAATAAAATTACTTAACTTGTAAAAAATTGATAAGAATATTAATTTTGCAAGTCAAAATAATTTTATTTTCAAATAAATTGAAAAATATGGAAATGTTTTCCATGAAAATTTGGTCAACACTGTATTAGAGATCTGCAAACTTTGAACATAAATTTTTAAAAAAAAATTCGAGCCAAATTTTTTTAAATATATCTTAAATTTATCAATTTTATATTGAATTTTTTTATATAAAATAAAATTATTTGATTTTATTTATAGAAATTAGACGGCATATAACCTATTTATTTTATTTTGAGTAATTTTAAAAATTGATTTCTATATTTAAATAAATTTGGGCCAGGCCGGTAAATTAATTTTAAAAAAATTAGGGCCAGGCCAGGCTTGAAAATAAAAATTAGGCTCGATGCAGATCACTTTTATATATCATTTTTATAGAAATATATTAATTTAAATATAAAGAAAACCTCAAAAATATCAATATCTAAAATTTCACAAAAGATTTTTTTCAAAATTAAAAATCTATCTTAAGATTCCTCAGAGAAACTTATGGTTTGAAAAGCAATCTTAATTTTTTTTATGTAAAAATATTTAAACATTATTTTATGCCTTCTTTTTTTTCATTATATCCTTTAATTGAATATTAAATGATTTTTAATTAATATATATTACATATTTTCACTGTAATTAATTCTGAAGAAAAATAGGGGCCATCCATTTTACTCTTAATGTATTTATAT